TAAGAAGTGTCACCCCACGATAATTTTCGACATTATTTATATTACCTTTTTTATGCAATGGTATTACATAGCCATCAGACCATTTTTCTGGAAAATAACGGATTTCAAAAATTTTATTAAAAGTTTATGCAAAACAGGTACAAGAACATCTTTTCCTGCCGTGAAAAATTCATTTAATATTAAGTCTGGTCCACCAGATCGATTACTTTTCAATTGTTTAACGGCATTTATTATTTCGTCAACAGATATCATATTATTAAGTTCATTAAACATAACATTAAACTCATGATTCTCGTATCTCTCATTGAAATAGAGTACATCTTCATCCGGACTGAAAAAATTGCCATCCGGATTGTTAACCGCCTTAAAATATTTTTCAAATTCTGATAATGGTATATTTGATTGTTTTACACCTGCTAAACCCTTTAACATAGACCAGTAAATTTTTGCATTTTTACTTTTAGCTTGTAACAGTTTTGAAGTATTTTCATGATCAAAATCAAATCTACATTTCCGTAACACTTTCTTATATTCTGTTCTAGCAGACACCATATTTACTCTAGTACTGTCTGTCGGCATTTGGCGAAAAATATTCAGCATGTTTAAAAATATCTGTTTTTTCTCATCACAGTCATCATTATACCAGGGATGATTATTTTCTGACCTACTAATTATATTTTCATTATTACTAACATTTAAATATTTTATACATGAAGGCGTTGCCACTTCATTGATAACCTTTTGAAAACCACTCACGCATAAATCTATGTTTTCATGAGACATACATGATGATATTTCATTTGATAGATGTTCAAGTTTATGCTCAATCTCACTACTTTTTAATTTTTCTAAAAACTGCACTTTCCTATCCGAATCCCAAACATATTTACAATTAATTGTTTCCTTTTGTTCATATGACTCATTTATTGATACATTTTCAACTTTATCAATCTTCAAAGTACATGACACAAGACAGTGATCTGATAATATATTCGGGCAATCAATATCAAAACTATCAACATACTTAAATAATTCTTGTTTACATAATATATAGTCAATAACACTACAACCCTGATTGTTAACGAATGTGTATTTACCTATGTCGCAATCATTTCCTAGCCTACCATTCATAATTCTCAAACCGGTTTGCCTACAAAAATCTAACAATAATAAGCCATTATTATTCACGTGACCATGATCTTGTGATCTCCTTGGTATTTCATTGTCACAAGTATAATCATCGGGCAATACATTTATACGTTCTAAATCAACATTGTCATTTGCTACATAATCAGAAAGAGTAGAAGTTCGTGCGTTATAATCACCAAACAAGAAATAGTAACTATCGCTGTTTGATTTACTTTCAACATGTAATATAGAGTCAATGAGTCTATCAAAAATATTATTTTCAACTAAAGATTGTCGGCTGCTTCCATCAGGCAATACATAACATAATCCTATATATACATCTTTACTAATATTTAATTTTACAGACGATAACTTTACCCAAAGTATATCGTCCTGACTAATATAAAATAACGTGTCATCTGAAACAAGATCATTTCGTACATATATGATAATTCCCCCTGAATTTCTTTTACTGTTACTTTTAACTAATTTTCTATGCAACACAAAATGTTCAAAATTGTCTTTATCTAAACTTGAAAATTCATTCGTCCATGTTTCAGTAAATAATACAATATCATTATTTTCGAAAACATTGTTCAAAAAATCAGTATTTAACTTGTTTGTGCGTTTTGTGACTAGTCCTTGTATGTTCATCAGGGCACATCTAATCGAACAAACCTTCTCCAAATCGTCCTAGCTTTTAATCTCAACTCCTCCAGGTAAACGCGAGCGCCTATTTATAGTAACTGGGGAAGTCCTGTTCCTACCACGTGATTCACTACGATTGTATGGGTTTGACGATTGTGACCTCTTAACGCTACGGTTGTTTGCACGTGATAAATGTGTAGTTACTTTTTGTGTATTTATATTCGAGGACGAAATTGGGTCAATGTCATTCATGTTTGGATTTTGGCTATTTTCATTTGTGTTTATATTTGTGCCAGTGATGTTTCGTTGGGATGTAGCTGGATAATCTGCATTTCGATTAAGTGAACCTCTTGGGATAACTTTGAAGTTGCATTCAAGGTAAGTTGCTCATTGTTACTATCATTTTCTGCCAATAATTGTAAGCTAGTACTTGTTAGAACAGCTATTTCTGAAATAGGCGTTTCCCCATTTGGTGATTTTTCGGGAATGTATGTTGCATCCTCAGATTGATTTGTAGTACACGAATGTTTATTTTTCGTTTGAGTTTGAATAGATTTTCCATGATTTTGATTAAGTTCACTCGTATTAAATAAGTCCGATAAATGTGACATGTTACTTGGTAATTGTCTTTGAAATGTGTTTGGATCTGTGTCCATCTGCGGAACTCTTCGGGTCGAGTCTGGCTGGTGTATTTCAGTTTCCATTGGTGATGATATTGGCCCATAGTTTGATGCCCTGTTGTCTGGTTTAGCTTTGTTGCTGATTATTTCTGCTTCATTTTGGGGAGTAGAGCTTTGTCCATGGTTGCTGATAAAGCCAATATCTTGAAAGAGTCTATTCGGCATATTTTTACCGGTATCTTTTGAGTCGATTAATAGCTTATATAAGGCGGCTAAAACTGTTTTATAGAAGACAGTGCTAATGCCGTTTTGTAGAAAATGACACTCGTGCATTATCTTTTAATTGTCTGATCAATTATCAATCTCATGTCTTATGTGTAGGCTAGTTATACATGTATATATATAAATCCCCATTCGGACCATTTCCATTCAGCGAGTTGGTCTGAAGACTCCTCAACATGTCTTGTAAATACTGACAGACACTATTCAGCTGATGGCATGACAATAAAAATTAAACGCAGCTACTGTTAGGCTCAAAAACACTAAAAAGGTAAATAATTTACCAAATACCTCTGTATCGTCCTCTAATCTACCCATGTTTAGTCTGAAATGAGTTTATTTCCAATTAAAAATAATATAAAAGACTATACTTTGAAAATATTTGACTGCTAGACACCGTACACATCTACTAAACCCCGTACATTAAACTACTACACCCCGTTCACTTAAATTTGTTTTCTTTGCTAGACTCTGTACACAAGGCAAGACCGTTTTTTGCAAATTTTGTTAAAAGCAGCTCGAGTTGAAGGGTATAAACTCAAATCTAAGTAGAGGGAGAACTATAGTTTGTGTTAAATGGCGAATTTGGATACAGCAAATGCGTTTTGGGCTTGATTTAGTAGTAAATATGAACATCGTTCGCACATATCAACAAATACGCTACATTTTATCGCCAAGTTAACACAAAGCATTCAATTTGCAGACAAAAGCAAATATTGCTCTTAAACAAGAACCATTGAGCTTCACAAAATTGTTTAGTTTGGAAAAATCGATGAAGTTATGATGAAGAAATAAGTTAAAACATTACCTTAGGTGTACTCGGTGTGCAGCTTTTTACTTTCGTTTTCGGTGTTTTTAGGGGCTATATCCGGTGGACGCTGTACAACAGTGATCATCTATACTTTCAATCAGCATTCCTAAATAACCCCCTTTGTCATTTGTATAATGCACGTTTAATATGAATAATAATCTAACAAACAATACACATTTATTTCTATTTTAATCCCTTTGTTGTGAAACGCGTCTAATAAGATTAATTATAATTATAATACACACTACTTGATTACGTATCTAACTAACAATAGATTGCGTAATGCCATTCAAATTATAATCCAAAATAGTCGCGAGCATGCGCAGTGAGTGCCGCTAAAGTCACCCTATGCTGCTAGTACGCATTAACTAAAGTAAGACTAAAGTAAGAGATTTGAAAATACTGCAATGTGATTGGACAAAATAATGTTGATCATTAATAAATGATAATAATTTATTTCTTGAAATAATTTCTAAACTTTGTAAAGGAGCTTAATTTTTTGAAAGCTACCAGTGTAAATACTTTGTCTATGGAAGGTCAAGCTGCTAATACATGCGATCAAATTAAAACTCGTAACTTTTCGCTTCTCGGTCCTTCAATTTTGAAACTTCAAAAAAGACAAATATTTCATACAATTTAAACCTTTATAGATAAGGATTTCGGGCTACTGTAATAAGTTATTAAAAGTTAAGATCAAGTATTGTTTTCACTTGTACAATTACACAACACCAAATTTATCACATTGTATCATGTTTACTGAAGTGACCAGTAAGCAATTTACATGTAAATAAAACGAAACAAATAACATTGTCGAAAACCGCCGAAATAATATTAACATAATCCAAATTCTGATACATTGTGTGCACATTTTAAAATAAAATTTCATCGTATTAAAACTTATTCTCTGTAACCTCTGTAACGTATAAAAGAAACGGCTCGAGATATTACTCAGTTATTATTTGAAAAAAAAAACAACAAAAAACAATTTCCTAGAATATACATATTTTAACTATTTGTACATGTAACTAATAAGAAATTAACGCATCGAAATTACACAATTACGGTACCAACTACCTAAATTCATCACAAAAATTATCAAACATTTTTGATATACATGTAGTGTCTGTTTGTATGTGTGTGAAGCCAAAACCCATAATCATTATTGACGCACCAAGTTTACTTTTTGTAGGATTATACTTTTTATTACTTTTTATTTCTTACTCAAACATTAAAGTCCTAATGTTTGCGTAGAAATTAAAATTGCTAAGCTTCCAAAGTCATGTGAACAATTACTTTTACATTTTGGCATTTATACACTTTCAAGTATAAAAAGTAAAATTCTTGAATAAAAAATGTTTAACCTTTTTCATTTTTTATATATGTAAGTATAAAATCTATCTAACCAATCTTTTTTCCACCAGGATACTGTAACATGCCTTAAAGCAATTTATTTTTATTGATTATATATATTATAATATCGTATATAGGTATTTATAATCATAAAGATATTATTCCTTGAAGGTGTTGCAAGGAATTTTTCATCATTTATTTCAAGTTAAGGGAGTAATTACCAGGTAAGTGATTATTTTGTTATGTAAATTTCTTTAATAGGATTAGTTTTCAACCATTCCAAATGTCTTAACTTGTTTCTCAAAAGCATTTTATTCGCTACTCGTTTTTTAAAGAATTGAAGGATTTTTTAAAAAGAAAATGAGATAATATGAATATGTATTTAAACTAAACGGATGAAAACATCTACCAAGTCATTGTTGTTTTTCTTCTAATTTGGTTAAAAACTCTTGCAATTAAACAAATACATGTATTATCTAAAATATGAACGTTAATATGTATAAAATAAAAATGACCTGAGAGTCTCCAATATTTTGCATAAAACATGCGCCACGTAGATGGTATTTTTTTAAAATCTTCCTGAATACGTGTATTAATGTATTATCTAATATTTGAATAATTGAGAACAAAAAATCTTATACATGTACATTTAAAGACCCGCGCTACGTTAATTGTTAATATCTTCCAATCCATGGTTCTTAAGATGTTAATAACCATACCAACAAAATATTACTTAAAATGTAAAATAATCCTCAAAAACGACAATTCAGTGACCAAACAGTATTATATGCTGCTTATCATAATGCACGGAAATTATTTCCTTGCACAGTTATCCACACGGCATCTTGATTTTTTTCGTAACTTCTTTAATGACGATGAATACATTGGAATTCAATATGTGCTCTAAAGCATAATGGTTCATGTATCGAATTAATGTACTAACACTTTCAAATCCTCTTTAATTACAGAACTCATAATAAATTTAAAATCGAGACTTAACACGAAACATCAAAATTCGGGGGACAAAACCACCACTTGAATTTGCATTCAATATATAAATTATTACATTCAACCTGGAAGAAATAAAAATTAAATGGGTCCATACAGCTACGGAAGCAAAGTCTATCAAACTTCTAACTGCAACAATCTTATTAATTTAAAACTGTGGCTCTCAGGAGTCACTATTCAATTCACTATTTAATTTGTTAAAGCAGTTTTGTGAAATGGAGTAAGCCACGTTTCAGATTTGGCTAGATGGCCGTAGTATAAGGATTACACGTGTCACTTGAAGATATGTGGTATAAGAAACTAATAAAACATGGACAATTTATAGGCATACTAACCTCAACAAAAGAGTAGATATTCAAATGTAATCCACACGTTCAACAAAGATAAAAAACTAATAATAATAATAACATTAATAAAAATTAGAATTATACAGGCACATGAGAATATAAAACATGTTCTTTGTCAGTTACTCATTACCACTCCTTCCGCGTCTTCTTAATTAAAAAAAAAAGGGATTTTGCTTAATATGTTCTAACTACTTACACAATGTTTGATAACAATAATAAAGTATACAATCAATTTTGAATTAAAAGGTAATATTTGTTAACAAAATGTCCCATAACTAATGACGTCAGCTAAAAAATATATCCACGTCCATTCGGCCAATTTGTCTTGCCAATAATGGTCATGACATATTATCATAAGATAATATTTTCCGTTGATCTTTCTAACCAGTACCTTTTTACTATAATTTTATATAAAACTAAATATAGTATACGGATGCAAGTTTTGATGATCGACGGAAGATTATTGTATGATAAGTTGACCGTAACTGAGCCGAATGCGTGTGTTAATTGTCGCCGTTCCTGAACGGCGACATATACAATTAACAAGATTTGACCATTTCTACTCGTACACTGCCTGACCTAAGCCAATTAAAAGGGATAATTTCATACAACATGATAACAAACTGGACGACAAAAGACCTCAAAGAGGGGCGCCTACGGCACACACCATCCGCCATGTTTTTGTCGGATAACTATATATGGGGATTTATATATATACATGTATAACTATCTTCATGTACATTGCTCGAAACCAGTGTGTAGTCTATATACGGAATATTTATCTTAAAAGAAAAAGATGTTAGTTCCATTTCCTATTGTCACAGGTTACTGTACATTTAGGTTCTCATTGACCACCGTACAGTGACCTACTTTTGGCTCAAAATTCATATCTTTGGCTAATACTCCGTGGAAATTGCATGGAGGTAAATTTTCACCACTTTGTGCTTCAAAATTAACTCTTTAAGGGCATGACTGGTGACATGTCCGGGGTCCGTACTCGACAGCGAAAGCTGCATTTTGTGCCCGAAAGGGCGGATGGACCCTCATTAAGCGTTAACTTCTACTGTTAGTTCCATTGTTCAGGAAGGAGTCTATTTAACGAAAAAATATTTTTCTAATTCCCGACTGAACGGTATTAGAAATGCTAATACTTGAATATACATATATCATATCGTATATGATCAAATAATGCTTTAATCAGGAACAACTTGCTATTACGTACGTCACCATTAAGGCAAACGCTCGTTTTGTGAATTGTTTTTTTTTTCCGATCAAACGTAAACCTTTTTTAAAAAGGAGAATTGTTTTCTACGGTAAAACTGTATTTCATATTTAATTGAAGTATAAAAAAATCTAACTTTGCAATATGCTGCAAATCAATATACACTCATCGCTACAGATGACACATTATACAAACTGAAGAGCAAATAAATTGCTAATTAGAAGATCTAGCCATGGTATTAAACATGTATCTACATTATTAATGTAAAAAAAAAACATTGTACACGTGTGACCGAAAAATATTGATAATTTTGATAGGTTAGCTGTTGGCGTCGCCTATAGAGTTGGAGAAATCTTACATATCTCAAGTCTCAAATTGTCTTCAAAATTACATCGTAAATTGTTGTTTTAACACTACATCCATGCCGGGGTCAAATACACATAAATGTACAAGTATATACATACACATACATATTTGTTTCCAGTCTTTACTACTTTACGAGATCAGAATGGTCTGAGTCAGTTTTAAAATGGTATCACGAATACAGTGTGTTTGCATCATATATTTTAGTATTTTAGTTAACATTAATAATTTTATGACTGTAGTTTATAGTTGTAGTATGGGCGACTTTATTTTCAGATAATTAAAAACACCTTTTGATATTGGTTCTTTGTAACGTGGTTTTATGGTGTCCTTCTGGGCTCCTTGCCGGTGGTCTTTTGTTGCTGAGTCGATTGGGGGATGCGTTCATTGTACGCCGCCCTTCCTTGATGATATTGTTTTTCATATTTCACACTTTGGATAGTCACACTTGATGAGCTCGAACGTCGAAATATGACGATTTTTATACACATATCTTATCTAACCAATTACAAGACTTCTTATCAGCAAATAAATTGAAGTTCAACGTATTTGTACACATGGTTATCCAATTATCTCATCTTATCGGAAAGATCCCCAATACTTAGATAGACTTTCTGGTTACCGCAGGTGGTGGTGATGATTAATCGCTATTGCCCTGGTCATAGATAGATTTATTTGCATATATACATCAGTAGAATAAAAATATACTATACATCAAATTAAATTTTTACTCATTCAATACATCTGATTCATGGCATAATACAAACAGAAATATCACATTATGAATTGTATCACATGTCATTTGACTTAGTATCATTACCACAAATTGGATTGTGTTACCACCAAGAACAATAATATGTATATTTGCAGGATAGTCCATAAAGTCATAAACTCTTTTTATTGGGTCCTAAAATTAGAAAAAAATATTAAAAGTGTAAAAGCAATTACTTGAAACAGCAAAAAAAAATGAACTGATTTACTGCCCACAGTACAGGACAGATAATAATAATGACGTGGATAGTGGCCCTTCTTCGACCAAATATGACGAGGATGGGTTTTTTATGTGCATGAGCTCTCATGTTTCTATTTTGGACGGCTCGTACCAAGTTAAAAAGATCCTATTTAACTCGCCTTACAACTTGGTAAACATAGTTTTAACGTGGTACTTAGTCTATTCCGGTTTGCATATGTAAAGCAATGTCAGATAATTAAAAATTATTTCCGTTGTGAAATAAATATCGGTATCAGAGCAATTTGATGAAAACATATGGGATAGGGTGGCTCGCTGTAGAGGATTGGAAACAAAACAAAGGTGCAAAATCTTAATTCTAACACGACCCGCATTTTTCCCTATTGAACATAGAAGAACAGAAATGCAACAGATGCACAGTTTGACGTTCTATATTTAGACATGTGACGTAATCATTATACATGTGACGTAACCACTAAAAATCCGACGCGCTGAAAATAAGTACGGAAACAAATCAGGCGCAAATTTGCTTAACTATCAAGTACGGCAACATTTATTTGTTGATGTCGTGTTAGAATCGAAATAATATATCCAAATCAGTGATTTTATCGCTTGATAACAGCACTGTTTGTCGTTCGGATGCGCATCATTATATCACTCGGGCTACGCCCTCGTGATATAATTCCTCGCATCCGAACTCCAAACAGTGATGTTATTGAGCGATAAAATCACTGTTTGGGATATATTATTTCTTAATTTTCGATATAGCTACCTCTTAATCTACTGGATCCGAATTTGATAGGCCTTTGTCACCAGAGTAAAGCAAGGCCAGCCTTCATCTAACCCCATAAACACAGTATATTATTGGCTGATCAACTTCAAATTTTCATCTAGATATACCGAACATTGATGATGGCGGACTACTATAAATATGGTAGCTGGACAAGTTCATTTATGGAAATAAGTAGTTCAGGGTTAAGTCACGTTATGAACTACAATGTACATTTTATAAAATGCAAGTTCTTTCACAACCACTTCGTAAAGGCGTTTTCAATTTTGATCAATGTCTAAACCATATATCACCGAGTTAATCACGTATAAACTTACGTTTATAGATAACATGGCTACTTCCTGAATGCACCTGGTGCTGCAACCTGTACTGCCTTAATAAATATCTTTTATTTTCTTCAGACCTATCTTCTCGATAATTACTGTGATAGTGATACATAAAGATGTCGTTAAGAAGCGAACATCTACAAACTCTGTTACTATTACTTTCTGTGTGCTTGGCAGAAAGTAAAATGACGGAAACATACAAGGTGCTATAATAGGATATAATATTATTGAATTTACAAACTGTTTTAAATTTGATTGTCTTCGATAAACATTGTCATAATGTGGTAGTAACAGCAACTACTGGACGCGTTTGATTTAAAAATATACACCTCATATGCTGAAAGAGGAAACGTGTCTGTTATGTCATTACCTTGAAAACTTGGCATTTCTGATTTTTTTAACTTTGTGTTATGATGGATTAGTTTAAGCATTTAGATTATTAGTTATAAAGATTGTTGACAGGTTATATGGCCCTATATAAACGGCTGTTTGTAAATATTACCCGAGCCGCTAGGCGAGGGTAATATTGCAAACAGCCGTTTATATACGGCCATATAACCTATCAACAATCTTTATAACGAATTTATAATACAGCAAACATCATTTTTTAGAGAAAAAAGTAATATTTCTTCATGAATCGACAACAGCCGTGTATATAAAACTATATAAACGTCACGATTATCCAATGAAAAGCGACGTTACAAACGTGCAGTATTATAAAAATACATATACATGTATATGAATTAAATAACGGTACAGTATAAAATCAATTTCATTTGCAATTTGTCAGAGTCAGTCATTATACTAGAATCTGTGCTTTTAGTATGATTTTTCTAATACAGAAACACGCCAACTTATCAAAATCGATTATATAAAGGTCGAGAGCAGACATCAATGTATTAAAGTCCATTTTCTTCATTGTCATCCAGAAGATCTTATAGGGAGAAATGATTACCTTGTTGAAAAGGTGTCTGTCACTTAATTAATGTGTTTGAGCCCTTAAGCTTCTCAATTTACGACCATGTGGCCTGATATTTTACCAATTATAGTGGACTTTAAAATGGTGCAATCAAGCACAAACAATAATGTTTATAACAAAATTTAATCCGAGTTCACTTTAATTGAAAGAAGAAGTAACGGCATCGTGTCATTTTTGTACTACTCTTTGAATGTTATCTTTAGGTGATGACGTATAATGCTGCCTTGTTAGGGGCTAGTATATCAGTCGATGGAACCATTCCTGACAACCGTGAAGAAAGACGAGACGCCTTAATTAAATATCTCAACGATGATGCTAACTCAGACATCGTCTGTCTACAAGAAGTATTTTGTTTGATAATTATTAATCAATAATTTGTTTTTCATATATTTATACTTGAAATAGAGAAAATAAGAATCCATAAAGAAAGTTGAAGCCTTTGCCTCAATGTATATGCGAAAATGAACTTGAAAATGATTTAACAAGTATCATATTGTTTCATTTTAGTGTAAAATTGTCAAAAGGCGGGGTTTTGAAATGCTTTAATTCTTTTTTGTTTTATCGCAATTGTCTCAAGTGAATATGTGCATTGTATTCGACAAAACTCCATAGATAGTATATTCTTTGTCAATTTAATAATCTTTAGGTACGTCTTTATTTTAATCATTGCTAACTAAAAGAATGAATACTTGCTACTTACCACATACCAGAACAAAAATCACACTTTCTACAGATATTCACTGGCCAAGATGTTGAGGCGATTGTAAATGGTGTTGGCTCGAAGTTTCTTTACACATACAGCGAGTTGCATCTGAGTGACGGAACACTTCCGCCTCAGTCAGATGTCATATGGGGTAATTGATATTTAACCATTTGAAAGTTAATTATTTTTAATGAAAGAAATGTTCTGTCCGAAAGAGTAGTCTTATTATATATGATTCTAACACTCACGTGATTTTGTCGCTATAGACAAAGAAGGAAAAAAACTGGTGTTAAACTGCCAATAAACACCGGTTAGGGACTACTTGTATATGCGCCGTTATGTTTTCACCCTCGATTGTATAGTTTACAAAGCATTTTAAAGCAACAATAAAAAGCATTTTTATTTATATTTTCAGTTCCTATAATGTTTTCTTTTCATAAAATACCGAAATAATATCTCACATACACTAACGCCACATATTAGATCCATATCAGTTAATAAATATTTTGACAAAACGGCGCCAATCCGTAAGCAGCGTAATGACGTCATCGTAAGTAAACAATTCATTCATAAACAAGCTGACGTTATTTCATACATATAAGAATGATAAATGGGGCACTGATGTAAACACAATACGACGTAAGTTTTAATTGTTGAAAACTTAATAAAATAACGGTTTTTTTTTCTTATTATTTCTTTTGTTTGATAATTTCTATATCTTCGCAACAGTAGGGTGCTAAAATCGAACAGCGTTATACGAAAATCGGCACCGGAAGTTATTTCCGCTTGAAAAATAACAGTGATTTTCCTTATTTTATCGTGTTAGAATCGAAATAACATCGGCCGGAGAGGTGTATATCGGCTTTTTAACACCGGTTTTGTCGTTTTGATGCGACAAAATTAACCACTTAGGCATACGGCCTTCGTGGTCAATTCCTACGCATCAAAACTCCAAACCGGTGTTAAATAGCCGATATACACCTCACAGGCCGATGTTATTTCTTAATTATTTATTTTTGTTGGACTATTTACAGGTAATCTATAAGTTAAGAAGTTATATTATGAATTATATGTAGTCACATCATCTCTCATTCCTTATTGCTGATATATTGTGGCTGAAAAAATAGATGGTGATGTGAAAAACACGGAGAAAGATATTCTAACAGCAGCATCTTTCGAACAAATTACTACTTACGCAAGATTTTCAAAATGAGGCATGTTAGAAATTATCGTGATTGTTATATGCCAAAAGATTTTCTGGAGAATGCCTTAAATGTGGCTTACAAAACACTACTGTCTTCGAAGTGCTATATATCACTTGGTTAGACTATTTTTGAAGGTTTAAAACATATATTTTAGCACCGGCATGTGACACCACAGACTACCTGAATTTTGCAAATTGTGCAATTGGAAACGGATGTTTGAGTTCAACGTCCGACACAATACTTTCTCCAGTAACATATGCATGTCTTGTTACCAAATGCCCGACAGAGTTTCAAACCATAGTGTTTGTAAATGGAGAGAAATGTGTTAGCTGTCTCATCAGAAATTCACCTAATAATCATTTCAAAAGGTATTATGTGTTAGTGATTGGCGCGCAACAATTATTTATGTGATGCCTTTTTTACTTTGCTTCAAAATCACTTTAAAATTACAGTTTTCCGGTTATGTATTATTTCAAAGCCGATTTATATAAGCACTTTTATAAATTATGACGCTGTTACAGAAATTATAAAGATTCTTCTTTTATCTAAACATCTTGGTAAATGTAATTATGATATCTTTTAACATACTTGGGAAATATATGGAAATACTACTGACTAAATTGTTAATTACAGGCTTTAGATTATTCCTTTTTGAAATATTCAATAAACGCTCCAATTTGACTAGGAACAGATTTTTGATGGAGTTTTCAAGGTTTAGCTTTGCATCTTTCGCTGAAAATTTATATACATATACGAGGTATGATCAAGTATGAGCGGCCTGGGCGGCGAAAAGAGGTCATCAACGATGAAACTGCCGAAGCTGTGCATGATCTGGTCATGTGCGATAGAAGGCAAGACCTGCGAAGCATTGCTAGGTAAGTGGGTATAAGCTTTGATTCAGTTCAGGCAATTCTGACTGGTGTCTATGGCATGTCATAAGTTTCCGCTAGATGGGTCCCCAGACAGTTGATTGACGACCAGAAACGGACCAGGCTTGAAATTTCAATATATCTTTTGTCTTGCTAAGAGAATGAACCTGATTTTATCTACCGGATCGTAACTCAGGATGAAACATGGCTCCATCACTTCGATACAGAATAAAAAAACAGAGCATGCATTGGAAGCACCCCGTCTCACCCCCTCCGAAGAAACTCATGGCGGTGCTATCAGCAGGGAAGATAATGGCTTCAACTTTTTGGGATAGTCAAGGGATAATCATGATTGACTATCTTGAGCAAGGTCGTACCATATACGGTACGTACTATGCAGACGTCTGCGACAAGAAATCGGGCGAAAAAGGAGGGGCAAACTGCCTCAAGGCGATCTTCTCCTGCACGACAATTGATGCGCCAGCTCACACAATCCAAGTTCAAATGGCTGAAGCAACTGACTGCGGCTTTGAAATTCTTCCCTATTCCCCATATTTTCCGGACTTCGCCCCCTCTGACTTCTACCTGTTTCCGAAATTGAAAACCAAGCTTCGTGGTAGACATTTTGGAAGCTAAAAAGGTGTCACGAAGACGGTCAATGAGTTCTTTGAAAACCAAAATAGAGAGTTATGTTTGGCAGGGTTAAACAAGTTGGAGCACAGGTGGGCAAAGTGCAATGATGTAGAGGGCGATTATATTGAAAAGTAAGACCATTAGTTGGGTTACTACCGGAAGTATATCGGGCCAAGAACTTTTTGATCAATCCTCGTACGAATTATTCTTATCAGCATGCAAATGTGACGTGAAGTCAAATAATATAGTTTTACAAAATATATTCATAATAAACTGAAAATAAAATGAAAACACTTTTTTATCTGAAACTTACAAGAAATATTATATATGTTTATTAAGTTCTCAAAATATAAAATTATATACCTTTGAAATATTTTTTTTAAAGTAATGTATATGAAAACGGTTTTATGACTGGCACAATATTTTCGTATTGACATGTGGGACATTGTATACATGTATATATTCTAAACGATATGTCAGAGACGACTTTTTCCAGTCATTCACGAATCATCACTTGATTCTTCAGGTGTGCAGGACCTCCATCTACAGACCGTTGGAGTATAAACAAAATTGGACTTTTATTGCTGTCCAAAAAAGAAATATCTGACACTGAAGCTATTGAGTATTTTCCAAATGACATCAACATCTTCGCATACGGATATCTTCGTGCAAAGGTATAGGATTAATGTTTGCCTTATAAGGGTTTTACTACTTGCTGTTTTTTTCTGTGTTATCTATTTTAATTTCTGAATGTAATACCGTTACTAACAGAAAATATTAAGACAAATATTCTAATTAGTTAATTTCATTTTGACATATACATGTATATTTGAATAAGTTGAAAACAAATATAATCAAAATTATGTAAAAGTCCGGTTGATATAAGGTGTCGAAATTAAAATTGCCTAAGATATTAACAATCATAGTTAATAATAAAATGCATGTATCTAGTATTATTAAAGAAACAACTTTGCGATTCATTGAAAATACATGTGTAAGATTGAATGAGTACAAAAAAATATTGGAATACGAACTATTGATTATAAACTGCTAGTAAAGTCAAAGTAAAATCAAGTGGTACCTTATTTTAAAATATAGGCAGTACGATACTAAGCTTAGATATGACAAAGTATAATTTGATTGTGAAGATTATAGGAGAAAGAACTTGATTCAAATTGTTACAATTTTTTTTTAAAATTCAAGTGCATATCATTTTAGGTTGGCGATCTGACAATCGGATGTACACATATAGTACCAACAGATTTCAACTGTATGTTGTTGTGTTCTTTTTTTCACTACAAATTATCATTATGTTTAATAATATATGAACTTACTCGATAGATGAATTAATAGTAATAATTTTGTTTAATTCTTAATTATCGTGACTGAATGAACATTATCTCTCATTTGTTAATGCACATGAAATTTCTTTTTATCATAATATACTATATATTTTCTAATAAAATGGGAACAATGAGAAAATGTTATTGTAAAATTTATTAATATATTCTATGTATGCATATAATTAACAGTAGCAACGCAAACCAACATTGAAAATCTGTAAAAATTAAACAAAAACAATAAAAAGACAACAACAACAAACATTAAACGACAACAAAAAATGAATAAAAACACAACAACAAAAACAACAACAAAACAAAAACAAAACAAAAAAGAAACAAAAAAGAAACCAAAAAAAAAAATTGTTAAAGAATGAGTTTTCTTTAATAAAGTGAATAGAACCAAAATGAGTCAAACAAAGCCATACTAAACGATACTTTAAAGATATGAGAAATTTTTGAAAACTAAATGCAAGACATAAGTAAAGATTGCGTTATACATGTATATTACAAATTAGAATAATTATGCAATTTTGTTAGTGTTTTTTGTATATCGAAAGTATTATTCATATTTTATTAACAGTTCCTCCACTCATGTCTCAGTTTCAAACATTCTCGGATCAACAAGCGGTAGAACTACAGAAATTTGTCGATGCATTCGCTGGTGCAAACCCCGTAATTGCACTCGGGGACTTCAACTGTGGTCCTGACACTGACACATTCGACCCAGTCGATGCATGTAACTGCTCCTTTTCCAAATTGTTGAATGTCATTTCAAGAAATTAATGCATTCATTTGATATAAAGATGAAATATTACTTAACATATTGTTTTGTATGTAATTATAGTAGCTATATGTACTCATTTTTCAAAGTGATACTTATTCGTTTCAAGGAAATGTTGTGTCTCTAACAACATAAGAAAAACATTTATGTGCAACTGAAATAATATTTAATAGCAATTAATAATTTCTTATCGCATACTTATTACATAATTTCATTTTATTGATCATTACCATACTTGACGTTTAATTTTCACGTCCTAAATTATTATGTAGCCAAATATGATGCATTAAAACTAAATAAAACTTATCTAAAATTACACTGTAATTATATTTAATGGCATACGGATTTTTAATGCTTTATTTCAGCTAATTACGAGATACTCACAGGTTTTTTCACAACAAAACTTACAGAGGAAGGCACGTTCACCTCGGAGAATGCATACAACAAAGCTCCTGGTCAGTCATACAATTATGCTATCGATCATGTGTTTAGTGCTGGAAGCGCAAGGATTCTGAACACTGAGGTAAATACTGTTTAACATGTCGTATATATAAATATACTCATATACATGTATATTTATGTTTTTATATATGCAGACATACATCTTATATCGTAGTTACTCTTTGTTCAAAATAGTACAGGAATATGAATGGGTATGCTTCAAATACATGTAAATATAGATCAGAGTTATCTTCGCTATGAAGGAAAGAGAAGATAAAACCACCTTCCGGTATATTTTAACTTGTTGGAATCCTATTCCCAGACCACTGACATTTCAAAGATTAAGTACCTAACGTCATGGCGCATTATGCATACATTGAAATCTTTTCATGTTCTCTCTTTTACCCGGAAACTTCTCGGTGGCATGAACCAACTCACATATTACTCTTACAGTTGTTATTGAATATTTCACATACGCATATAAACAATTAGAAACTTTAAATTATTTCTTAAAACATGTGCTCTTTTTCAGACATCAATTATACTTCTGTTATACAGGTATGATGTGTATTAACATTTATTGTAATGTGTTATCTTTGTTTCTTTGAGGTTTTGCGTTTGTTCTGAAGTTGTTTTTTTATAATTTACAGGTAATCCTGAAAAACGGCACAATGCCGCTAGGATCAAGTTGGCTTCCGTACAGTGATCATTATGGTGTGAAAGCGGTAGTAAAAGTTAAAAAATTACGCAAGTAACGAGAGAAAATGAAAACATGATTACAGACTGGAGATTAAAACACAATCCTATTTAATATGAATTTTTTCCTTTAAATCTTGAAAAAATATGATATATGTAATGTAATAAACTTGCAACAAATAAAACGATCTATCAACAACACTATGCTTTTAAATTATCAATTTGAATTTGATGCATAGTCCTGAATTAAAACACTCATTATTAATCAACAGACAAATCTTTCGAAGATATAACAAGTTTTTTACTATTAAGTTTAAATGTCCGTTTTGAGCACAGGCTACCAATAAGGGAAAATGCTATAAAGTGTATTTAATCAATATTTCAAAAATTCAAATGCACACAAAAATTAGAATATTCCGTACTTGAAGCAATAATATGCATACATGAGCATTATCACAGCCTTTGAAATATTGATACGGTGATTCTTGCCAGACATCTAGAAAACAGAGAAAAAACGGAATCCCTAAAGAACGCCAAAACGGCAAAATTGAAAACATGCAGGCTCGGTTTGATTGTACCGGATAATGGACTAAAGTTGTTATTGCAAATCTGATTTAGTTAGATAATATTGTCTTGTTACTTTAGATACACATGCAAAGTTACATAATTATTATAAATAAAAAACCCAAATGATCAAGCAGAAAGTGTATAATATACGTATAAAATACGTAAGGATACAATGTTTAACAACATTGGCAAGAGCCCTTCTCTTTGTATAGTGTATTCGGTACCTCTAGTGTACAATCTCTCTCTCTCTCTCTCTCTCTCTCTCTCTCTCTCTCTCTCTCTCTCTCAACGTCAAATTTCTGACTCTAAAATATGAAGATAATACTTATCTGGAAAATAAAGTCAAACGTTGATATATACATGCTCATTTAGATTAAATAAAACACGGGAAAAACTATGGAAAAGTGATGATCCCTCGTAAGCAATAAAATCAACAGTACTACTTGTAAGCTGCAGACTCGGTTTCATTGATTCTTTTGATTTAAACATATTTTATTGCTCTTTTTTACACATTTATAACATAATATTATCATAATATAAATACAAAAGGGTTGTATTCTGTTTTTCTCTATTTTGAACCACGAGTTCTTACAACATCAGCAAACGGTTCTTCCCTGATATATGGAATTATCTAATAATAATAAGACAGTTACAGACCAAAATGTATGATAGTAGAGCAATAAGGGAAAAATGCACAAGGATAAAGAAGAAAACATTAAATAAAAAGAAAAGAAAGGAGTTTCTTTTCCAAACAAAAGGGTCTTTACGCTCAAAGGATGGAAATTGCGAGTTGCGCGGAATAACTGCACTCTTATTCCGTTATATTTGGGACATTTAGAAAAGTAATGTTCGGCATCTTCACTACTGGATGTACAATAGCAACAAAGTGAGTTATCTCGTAAATGGTTTTTACAAAGATCCGCATTAAGATTACTACATTCGTTTCTAATACGTACATGGTAAACAAATAAACTTCGATCTCCGTATAGAAAATATTTAGGAACAGTATGTGGTTGAAAAAGTTCTTTGAGACGAGATTTAAAAATATTAAGAGAAGCGCATGTCTGATATGATTATCCAAATTGTTCCATAACTCAATGGATGAAGGAATGAAAGATTTTGCGAATATTTGTGTTCTCCGTGCGATAATCACATAGTTATTATCATTTCGGAGGAAGTATGGCATATAATTGGCGACACTATTGGGGAAAAGATTAAGTAAGTAGCTTGGAACATTGTTTTGATGAGCTTTGTAAACTATTATTAATTTATGCATATTTCTTTTATCCGACAAAGATACCCAGCCAATTTCTCTAAGTAAATGGTCTATAGATACCGATCTAGTTAGGCCTGTGACAACACGCGCTGCTTCGTATTGCATCTTTTCAAGAGAATGTTTATCATTTTCATTACAGCCGATTACACAACTTATTAGAGAAATTGGTTTATGTTTTTACTGCCCTTTTTATAATTACATCTGCTGATATCCATGAATAAGGGTAAATATTTTCGACTAGAGATCTGTAAAATAAAATGCATAGTGGAACACAGACAGAATATCTTGTTTCCTTTAGCATTTTATGACTAATTTCATCTGGTCCACTTGCTTTATTCGTAATTAACGTTATTAAGATATCACTTATTTCCTGATCGCTTATTTGTAAACTAGAAAATTTAACATTACTTTTAGAAACAAAATCTGGTAGGGACGAATGGGTGTCGTCTACAGTTGAGACTGAAACAAAACAAGTTTGCTTCTTTAAAAAGAAGCATGCGAGAGGTATTTTTGCAGCTGTGGAAGATTTGTTTAATACTAAAATAGTTGGGGATATTTTTGCTTAAAGGCACAATTGGTTATAAATTACAATTATTTAACAAAATATAATTGATTATATATATTGAATATACATATATAGTATCATAATGAAACTTAAGTTTGTTTTACACTTCATTTTTTTAATGTTTTTCTTGGTGCATAAGGGACACTTTTTCTACAAAGAGAACAATTTATGTTAAGTCATCAAACTAAATTTAAAATAAATGATATATATATTAAAAGTAGTGTCAAAATAGTTTTAAAAAAAAAATTATAAGCAAATTTTTGGTTAATGTTTTATTAATCATATGGAAATGTTTCCTCTACATTTTCCAAAGCTGGCATAAAGTATGTTAATCAAAGAATTTTAAGTCCTAGATTTACATAAAAATGTTTATATCATTTTAATTGATTGGAATAAACAGTATTTTAAGCTGCATGCCTGCAACCACAATCAACTTTAGTAAAATTTGTGCCATTTGCCAGATGCGTTATTTAGTCATACCGGTTCAAAAGTTAAAGGAGCAGCAAAACTTCGGTGCACTGTTCACTCGGTCATATAATAGTGCATGGTTATATCGTAGCTACAATTATCACTGTTACTACGCTATTCAGAAAACAATACGGTAATCAATAAATTAAAATGGAAGTAAACATCCACATAGCGCTAAGTAACGTAAATAATATTTTCCGAGTTTTCTATGTACCGATTTGTTCACATCGATGTTAATTTTTCGTTTAAGTTCAGTCGTATTTTGAAGTGGAGCATGCGCATAACAGTTTGTGTAGACTGCTCCTAATGATTTTACGCTTTAAATGAGGTTCATTCACTACAATCAGATACGCTAAAATGGATGCCGCCAGCAATCAGTCTGAACACTGTGGAGAGGTCTGATGACCTCTCCAACAATCGTTGAGACAATTTGCTTTTTCTAGATCGGTGAAGAACTAAGTTTTGCCGGGCGAGTTTTCTATGTTAAGTCACAACCTTTGTTTTCTTTAATTAACATATTTACGGTTTTCCAATATTGCCTGGGGGTTTTTAAATTAAGATCACATATAGAAAATTCTAAGTTATTAAAAACTATTCTCCTTTGCATGTTTAATCAAATTGCTCACTTTATTTCTGTACCGTTTCATACCATGGTTTATTCTTAGGCCTTATTGTGATGATATTTGTAGTCTAGATATACATTGTTTAGCAAACTTATGGAACTATTTTTGTAAACAAGTCACAGGCTTCGTCAATAGTATTTAAATTTAGAAAAGACCAATCGGTTGTGTTAATTAATTCATTAAACTTTACAAAATCCGCTCGTTTGTAGTTCCATATACGTCTCTTATAAGGTGTAGAGGGTAAATGGGAAGATTTAATAAATACGTACGTTCTAAAATGGTCACTTATTTCTTTTGGAGTGCAATGAATTCCTGACGTTAAAACAGTTAAATTATTTGAAATTACTATTGGATCTAATAGGGTTGATGTTCGAGCAGTAACACGTGTTGGATCAGTAATGGTATTACGCATACCATTTAATAATAAGATATTTCGAAGAATATTATTACTCGAATTTAATTGGTCTTCATTTATATCACCAAGAATTGTTATGTTTGGGCAAAGTTCAAAGGCTTTTTCTATACACAAGTTCATTTTATCCCAGTAATCATTAGGATATTTTGGAGGTCGATATGTAGTACATATCAAAATTCTTTCTTGTGTCTTTTCTTATTTCAACCCAAACAGACTCTTCAAAAAATGTTTCGAAATCATTTAGTCTTTTTGAGATAAATTTATCAGATACATATATAAGCATTCCGGCAGAATATGAATTACCGTTTCATTGAGTCCGTCCATGAGAGATAATGTAAAAATGCAAACTCTCTCACGCCCCCTCCTGCACCGGCTAAAATATTATTTAATTTTCAACACTATTGTGCTGAAAGACATAGGACAAAAATAGACTAGATGAGAACATTATTTCTTAACGATATGGTGGAATCGAAATACATGTACATTAATAATTAGATGTAACAGTCATATTTTCAACAATGATCTCTTAACTCCTTGAATGGCAAACCCCCTACTAACATCATGCCAAATGAAATAGGAAAAAACTTTTCGGTGAATGTTGTGTAAAGGGGTGTTATGAGAGTATTTGGGTGCAATTTCAAGTGAAAGATACGGTTTCCATAAAATCTTAAAAATTGGATACAAATGAAATTTTAAAATTCGTGTAGTTTTTATAAATTTTTTAATTGTGAAAATGTGGAACACAGAGATTAATGATTAAAAAAGTTCTAAGTATGGAAATGTTAATTCATTATCTTTATTTCCTCCATAACTGAAGAGAATATACATACGCTTTCATACCCTGAACATAGGAGTGAAATTAATTTGGTGTTTTTATCGTGTTTTCTGTAAATCCATTTCTCTTGTCATCCATCAGTATGAAGGTGTATATAAAAAGTTTCATTATTACATTTTTTCCAAACAGATGGCAACATATGTAATGTCACTGTTTTGTTCTTTATCATTAAGGGAAACTACAACTGTCAATCAACTAAGTGTTGTAAAGCTAATTTTTATTTGTACTTATTAAAACAGCACGCCTCCAGATTTATGCTTATTTAATAAAAAAATGAAATGTATTAAAAAGTAAAATATTGTGAAGTGAACAAAGAAAATAACTTTTACATTGCAAAAATCACTTTCAACCGATGTAAATTACGAAAAAAATAGGTCAAAATATGCTTAAATAACCCTTACTATGTTTTTAACGCAGTAGAAATATGATGAAAAATATTGCAAAATTGCAAA